TTCTTAGCCATGATTGGAGAAGTTGTAAGAATGGCGGCCAGAAAAATTGTGATGGAAAAGCACAATAAGGTGATATTTTTCATCAAAAATATGTTAACGGCATATTGTTATTCATGAAGGAGGATAGGATTGATGAATTTTTCAGCTCTTTTAATGTATTTCCTCCAGATCTGAATTTCACTGTACAGAAAGAACAGACTGGGAGCATACCCTTGATGTCAGAAATATCCGAAATGAAAATTGCACCCAAAACTGGGCCTGGTTAACATAACCAGACACCGCGACTTCAAGAATCTTAAAATTCTGTTTACAACATCTCACCCACCAAAAACCTAAATTCAGCTTCCAGCCAGGAGTTTCACGGAAAAAATTTCACCAAAATCGGACGGATCCTAAAGCTTAATGAATACCTGGATGCATTTTTGTGAACAGATTAATCCAAGGGGAAAAGGCAAAGCTCTCCAGCACAGTTCGCCAAAGGAACACCTTGAGACTATAGAATATGAGATATTTCTCTTTTCTTTCCTTTCCTATGATCACACAATTAATCGAAAAGGGCTTTCGGTCAATTAAAAATATCAACTTGGACTCCGAAACATCTACAACTTTTACTGCACCTTCTACAGCGGACTCAAAGACAAAATAGAACAAGTTTATAACTTGGTCTACAAAATACCTGCTCTTGTGGAAAAGTTTATATTGGTGGAACAAATCAAATGACAAAAAATGTCCAGTAGCACAAAAATGAATTAAAAAACAATAACTTAGATGCTACAGCCTTGAACAAAGGTGCGTGAAACTTCAAACGTGGTTAAAGATGAGGACACATGTACTTCACGCATGAATCGAACTATCATAAGCCCCTCGTCACCGAATCTATATACTAACTCAACGAATTTCAACGCAACCTTCGGAAAATGTTACCGACACGTCTTCAAACAAATCCGATTACGACATGACACCAATATCAACTCAGAGGGAGATGTAGACCGCCTCAAACTTGAGTCCACACGACTGAATCTGCAAATATATGGAACACCCATTACCTTTTACCTTATCCTACCTAATAACTTAAATTCGAACGATAACACCCTTTTAACTTTTTTAATTCTTTAATTTTTAAAGTTTAATTAGTACCCTGCAGAGTCATTTTTTTCATTTTCACAATCACCATATCATAGTAAGTGGCAGTGCCAGACTTTATCGAATGTTGTTTAGAAATTTTTTATTTTTATTTTTGTTCCTTCTAGAATGTTTTGCCTGAAGAAGGACTACAATAAGTTCGAAACGTCGCCAAAAATAAAAAGTAACTCAGGCCACCACACTGACAAATTCTCCAATCATACATCCGTCACCGGCCGACAATAAACTTGAACTATTTCTTAGCTAAATTATTAATTTATAATCTAATAAAAGATACTAATTTTATAGTTAATGGATGTCACGGTACACTGACTTTACGTTTTCCTCTAATGGGATTATACTGTCTGGTAGTTGAAAAATTAATTTCAAATGATGTTGTAATTTACTTTTAAATTTACTAAACCTACAGATTTAACAATAATTGATTAAATATAGCCAGAATCAATTTATAAAATTCAAAAAAATTTTTAGAAAATAAAAACGGCCGATTTTGCTGGATGGAGGTTAAAAATATTATCTCAACTAAAAACCTTAATTAATTGAATGATATTAATTGGTCAAGCGGATCACGGAAAATAGTGAATTTAATGAATTAAAATGAAATATACTTCTCTAAAGCTCTCCGTGGTCATTTCATTTGTCGCCGAGAATCAAATATATTAAAAAATGAAATCCACGTTGATAACTTTTTTTTGCTTTCACCGAGAAACAGACTATAGTCATATTTAGAAGGAATTTTCAATTACAATCCTAAAAGGGAAATTTACATTATTTAACTATTAACGTGTGACACTTGACAAAGGCGTTGGTTCGGGGGATAAAGTCGAATTCCGAGGACACGGCATACAAGAGAGCAAATAGTTCTATCCGGACGGGGAGGAAAGTGGTTTACAAGTGATATATCCCCTAGGCTCCTGTCTCTCAATCCGGCGGAAAGAAGGAAGCGGCTTAGCCGCCTCACTAACGCCCGCTTTGACATCACTACACTGTTTCCGACCTTGCTTTCTTTCCTAATGAAATTTCACTTGGATCGCGGCCTTCTGGCGAAAAGGGATCAGTTTTTTAAGCTAGCAAACATTCCTTTTTCTACAATTCTACAATACTAAACTTCTCAAAAATGAATAGGGATATTGCCAAATTTGTAGGATTTACTTTTCCTAGGATTTGTATATTATTTTTGTTATAAATTGCATTAAATTTTATTAGAAATTGTTATGTTTTTACTGAGGAAAATTTAATTTTGGGATTTTTAAAAATAAAAGGTTTTAATTCCATAATTTTGTTTATTGTACCCAAAAATTTGTTTAAATAATTAATACCGTGTATTATGTCCTCTCTTAGCTAAACCTCTGTGCTACCTGTTAGGCGAAATGATAGTGATCATTAATTTCATAAGGAGTTTCACTCCATAGATGTTGCAACGCTGCAGTCAATTGCTGCAGGTCAACTGGCTGCGGTTGTTAATCGAACAGCTTTCTGTGCAATACATACCATATGCTCAATGGGATTGAGGTCTGGAGACAATAAGGGAAGGGGCAGATGGGAAATTTTTGGGTTTTTTATGTCAATGGGATCCCTGGTTTGTGGGATTTATTCTTCGATAATTTCTTGGACACAACGGATCGCGGTGAGGTTGCCTTCAGCAATACGGAGTCCAGTTCGTCCTCCAGACCATTAAACCCTTTCTTTCAAACTGCACTGAATAGAACAGGAGTTGGGGAATTGTACCCACCCATCGCTCTCAGTAGACTCGGCGCCTGCTATCACTACACAGACAGAAATGGGACTCATCGGTAAACATAACAGCGTTCCAATTCTTGTTCTCTTCTAAGCGCTGGCTGCACCATATTCTTCAACCAGGGAGTCGTGGCCCGCTTAATGTGGAACTACGACAACGGGTGGTACAATGTGTTCAGGCTCGGGGCCCAAGAAAGGGTATCTCGTGTCCTCATCCACGTCCCTTTCTCACTCCAGGTTCCTTCATTGTTTCCTGTGACCCCTCGCAACCTTGGTTACAGGGGGGGGGGAGTCCGGGCGCAAAATAATTGTGCAGCTCTGAAGGCTTGGCACCTCTCTAAAGCACAAGCTGTACTCGGATCGGCCTTATCAGAGGCACTCGAGGGTTAGGGCACCAGATCCTGTCTGCATAGACGGGGGAGGGTGCATTGTCATCTGTACTACGGGGTAACAGAAATATTCCAAGGTTCCCATGTTACAATGAGCCGTGGCGAGAACCCTGGCGGCTACTTAGAAAAGAGTCTGTCTTGTATCTGTGACCTTCGCACGAAACTTGCGTAAGACCACCGTTATACACCCGGCCACATGGGATACGCGGATCGGACGGCAGCGTATAAGCGTTGAGGAGCTATGATTATGCTGAAAAGTCCCTCGAATGCGTGAGTAGTGGCGTACGGGAACGGGTAGTGAATCGGTTTTTCCTACTCGAGTATGGTTTGCACGTAAGTGTAGGCTGAGCTCGATTGGAGGCTTTTACCGTAGGCGGTAATTGCTAATTAATTGGTTAGCAATTCCACTTTAATCAAAACCGCAGCCGGAGCGTATCCGGTAGTTTCTACGCTAGGGAAGCCCCGCTACTCTGGGAGGTAAAGTGGCCTTCTCGACCTAGGGATTGCGCGGGAGACCAGGCTGATGTATTTCGGCTTAGGTAGTGCGGCATAAGGTTCGACGCTTAATGCGGACCCGACCACTCGGAATGGGCAAGAAGAGAGCGAGGTCGTCTTGGCCCCTCGGGGCTGAGCTGCCTCTACACCAACGCTGAGGTAGTAACACCCTTCTGTCGTATGCGGAGGTACGTCAGCTCTCAGCTTGAGAATCAAAACGTCAGACAAGGCCGAATAGGTTAGGTGCGGACATTAAAGATCCTCATTGTCCTTCTTAGGACTACCGAGTATACGGGAAGCAATGCACCATATTCTCCTGAGTTGCTGGTGGCGGGCTGTTGCTGCAGGTCGTCGCAAAAGGACATACTATGTGAGGCTTACTTCCCAAAAACGATTACGAATCGTTTGTGTTGATAGCCTTGCCAAAACATCGTGTACTTCATTTAGGATCTGGCAGACACTGTAGAAAGGATTCTTAAAGAAATGGCAATATTTCTGTCCTCCCTTAGCAGGAGCTGAGATCCACTAGGCCTCCTATTAGCACTTCCAGTCTTGGAATCTGGATAAAGCCCGGGAGACGACGCTCTAAGAAACGCCAAGTACCTCTGCCATCCATTTGCCGAGGACCCCATGACTCATTCTCACAATAATGTTGCGAAATTTTGAATCGAGATAATGTCTTTCCATGGCAGTTAAAGAGAATACAACTCCAAATGGAGAAAATACGAAAATATTTCTTTACAAAAGCGTAATCTTTCTGTTTACTATTCTTAAGTAAATCCGTTATTAAAAATAAGGATTAATATTTGTTTGTTTTCTATTTGTATTTTCCATTTTGTTTTATCCAACTAACAAAAATATATCGGTTAATTTAATTAAAATTAATAGAATAAAAATAAATTTCATAAATCTCTATTCGTTTTTGAGCAGTTTAATCCACCCTTTTTTGGTACGTTAAATAAATGAAGGCTCATTGAAGAAATCAAATAAATAACGCAGAAAAAAGGAAAAACAAACTAAAAAGTATTTTTAACTTCGTTCAATATTTGTACGAAGCAGTAGCTGTATGTGGTTTTTTATTGTGGTAAACCTCTGTTGAAGTTTTTCAAAACAAAATTAGGAAAAAGCAATTCGTTTCTGTATTTACAGTGAGAAAGACAAGATTGTCAATTCATGTCAATTTAAAACTAATTGTTGAAACGCTCAGTTGTATGTTCAATTAATTTTGTTTTTCAGGAAATTACAGCTGTCTGGTTGCGGAGTTTTACCTGAGCCGGTCCGTCGGGTTTCATCTCGTCCAGAGCTACCTCCCGACGATCCTCATCGTCGTCATCTCTTGGGTCTCGTTTTGGATGGACGTGGATTCCGTGCCCGGAAGGACGACCCTCGGCGTCACCACCCTCCTGGCCGTTTCATCGCAATCTTCAGGTAAAATAACTACAAAATTCCCTAGTGTATCGTAGAATGCTGATTTAAAAATAAGATTAATATTACAAGAGTTTATTTCATGGAATTACAATGTTTTGCTGTTCGAAAAGGTTGATTTTGACTACTTGGAACACAACAATTTTTTGTTAAACTTACGTATAATTAACTGATTTTTGCTAATTGGAAACTTTTATGTAAATCAATTTTTCAATATATATTGTACTGTGCACAATTGTATAACATTGTATTATAACAAGATTGTATTTTAATTAATAAACAAAATTTAATTAGACATGATAATAGAGCAAAATTAAAAAAAAAACCTTAATATAGGTAATCGTACCAGCAATATTGAAGATAATATTAGTATGTAGGAAATGAAAACATCATTCAATGAAAATAGTTAACTAAGTTTTATTCTGATCTACGCTTCACCAATTTGCCTTCTTATTTAATTTTTATTTATTTTTTAATAATGTAAGGCACGTAAAAATGTTACTTCCAAATATTGCTAAATATGTAGATTACTTGCAATTTATATTTTTTAATTGATTTCATAGACATTATCATGGTGACGACAAAAAGAGTCAAATGAGTGGACTTCTTGTTAAGTGACCACACATTATTTAGCTTATCTTATTAAATTTATTTCGTCTTCTCTTCATGATTGTTATGGCTCTTCCATTGACGAAGCACCCTTGTTTTCTTTCCATTTATTTCGTCCCCTCTCAATGGTCGTGATGGCTCATCCATAGACGAAGCACCCTTGTTTTCTTTCTATTTATTTCGTCTCCTCTCCATGGTTTTTTGGCTCATCCATTGACGAAACACCCTTGTTTTCCTTCCATTTATTTTGTCTTTTCTCAATGGTTGTATGGCTCATCTATAGACGAAGCACCCTTGATTTCTTTCCATTTATTTCCTCTTTTCTCCATGATTTTGTTGGCTCATCCATTGACAAAGCACCCTCGTTTTCCTTCCATTTATTTCGTCTTTTATCAATGGTTGTATGGTTCATCTATAGACGAAGCATCCTTGTTTTCTTTCCATTTATTTCGTCCCCTCTGAATGGTTGTGATGGCTATTCCATAGACGATGTATTTATGTTTTCCTTTCGTCTATTTTCTCTTTTTAGTCCTTATCTTTTGCATGACTGATGTAATATCAAGAATGCAATAAATTGACCTACTGTTAAATTTATCCCTGACTCCTTCAAATGTTAAAAATACCATTAAACCACCTTATTGTTCGTCAAATTACAAAAAAACGAGACTTTCTGAATCCATCTTTTTCACGTTTTCCACTGTTCACCAAATTTCTTCCGGCTTTTCTGTTTATAGCCAATTATTATGTCAATATCCTTTGTAAAAACTACTGAACAAATAAATCTACTCCATAATTAAATCTTTTAATATCAACCTAAATCGTCGATTTGGCGTTTTGGATAGGTCATCTTCCCACTCTAAAACAGTGGCACCTATAATTATTCAGGAATCGTGAGATGCGGTCTGGTGTGATGTAGGTTTCAGAAAAACATTTTCTTCATCGTGCCAACGTTTCGATCTTTACTGAGATCATCATCAGGGCCTGGGATTACAAACATTGTTTACATTTAACAAATACATGTAGGATGTGGAAAAAAGTGCCACCTATCTTGAAAACACCTTTACTTCCTCTCGGATTTCCGGAAACTGATTTTCATATTACAGTTTAAACATTTTCTTATCCAAAATTTATGTCTGTTTTTCTATTCCCATCCACCACCCGACGGTTTCTCAGGGATACCGCATACCGCATATCAATCTAACATAAGGTTGATACTACTCCATTTTTTATGTATTTGCTAATGATTAAGTATTAGTTAATAAAGTTATTTCAGTGGGCACATTTCGAACCTTTACAATTAAAATAATCAGCACGTTTGATGATATGGCGCTATAAAAAATGGAATTTACCATGACCCCGTCCTTCGCTGACGCGAGCCTTTTAAAAGGTAAAAAAATCGTGAATGCCACCAATCCTGTTTGCACGTGTCTGACCATAAAGACGTCGGCCGACTGCTCCAACCGGTGGAATTTACATACGGACGATTCCGAGTCAAACTGCTGCGTCGGACGTTTTCTCCTGAGTGTGAAAATCGTTGTATTTCAGACGTCGATCGGGACTGGTTCGCGAGGACGTGGTAAAACGGTAAATCACCTCGGAAAGACGTATGCTTCCGAGAGCCGGCCATTTGTGGCCCGATGCCAGGATACGTTTTACGAGCCCGGTATTCAAATGAATGGAAATTGACGGCCCTATAAATCCTCAAGGTGCGAAAAGGTCAACTTGACGCCTATGAATGAAAGGTACTTTTTCCGGCTTAATTTGCTTTTATCACTAACAATGACTTATAGGCTTTCCTTCTTCTTTCCATCACATATGTCAAGAAATATACGAAACGCTTTGCTTTTGCCTTTATCGAACGGTTTATGAATCAAACTCATGAAGCCTTCACAATAAAAACTTCACTTTTTACACTTTTTGTGTTTACATTCCCGTTTTTGTCATTATTTTAAGTTAAAAAAAATATATGTTATGGAACAATAACCAGTTTCTTAGCACGACATAATAAAGTTTATTATTACAGTTATAAAAAGAAACATCGGTCTTCTCTCTCTCTCTCTCCCTCTCTCTTACTCTCTCTCTCTCACTCACTCAATCTATCTCTTTCTCTCTCTCACTCCCTTTCTTTCCCACATTCTCGCTCTCTTTCTCTTTCCCAACTGTCTGCATTTCTCCTCTTTTCTAAAATTGGTGGTTATTCGTTTTGCTGCATGTATACATTCAGTGTTTTACAAATTTTCATTTTTTGTTAATTAATCTTACAAAATTAATTTAGGAATTACAAAAGTGAATGTTTAAATAGGAGAAGTAGAGAAGAAGGAGAAAGAAATAGAGACAAATATAGAGAAAAATGGGTAATAGGGAGAAGAGATAAAATAGAGAAAATACAGAATAATAGAAAGATAAAGAGTGAGAGAGAGAGAGTAAGAGCGATAAAGGGAGAGATTAAGGGAATTATGAGAGAGAGAGAGAGAGTGTGTGTGTGTGGGAAAGAGAGCAAGACAGAAAGTGAGACATAGTGAGAAAGGGTGTGGAGAGGAAATAGAGAAAGACTAAAAGAGAGAAGGAAAGCGAAAGAGGGAGAGAGAGTGTGTGTGTGTGTGTGTGTGATGTACAGAGAATGTTTTGAGAGAGGTATTAGAGTATAAATATAATATAAACTAAGGCAAAAACAAAGAGAGAGAGAGAGAGAGAGAGATAGTGATATATAGAGAATGTCTTGAGAGAGGTAGAGCTAATTATTGATTTATATGAATAGAAACAGAAATCTTGTATATACTAGAATAAAAATATAATATGAACTAGGACATAGAGAGAGAAAGATAGATAGTTGGAGTGAGAGAGAGAGAAAGAGAGAGAATGAGAGAGAGAGAGAGAGAGAGAGAGAGAGAGAGAGAGAGAGAACTAATGATATATTTATTTGAATGGAAAGAAAATCTAGTATAGACTACAGTGTATTTATAGTATAACTAGGACAGTAAGAATGTGAGATGAACATAGATATGTAGATAGGGAGAGAGAGAAAAACACGAGAAAAGTAGGGAGAAAATGTGTTGAGTAATGAAAGGGAATAAAAGAGAGGTTAGAGATAGAGACAGATTGTGTGTGTGCTTCCGTGAGTGCTGTACGACTGTGTGTGCGCGCGCGTGCATGGGTGTGAAAAATGAAAAGTTTGATCGAGAATTTGTATAAATATTAGTATATGAGTATGTAATCTCCCACAAGACCTACCCAAAGGTGTTCTTCACTCCTTTCCACGTCTCACAAATTAATCTCTGCCAGTGATTAAATTAGGCAACGAAAATAATTAAAAATAAAAGAAAGACCTGATTAAGATGAAAATGCATATCAGTGTTCTATGCCTCCAACAGATCTCTGCATGTATGATAAAACACGCCCCACGGTCTTCCAGTTGATTTTTTTTATTACCTGCACTCGTAAAAAAAAGTGGCCTGTTCTTCCATACTTTTCTGAAAATTGATGCGAAAAAGTTTCAAGACCAAATTGGGTGCCGAGCTATGCATCAGCTCTCAAGTTTTGCAAGTTCCAGCAATTTTCATTTTTACACCTAGTCCTGTTGACAATGTAATTAAAGTAGGGAAATAACTCTGTTGTAACAACGAAGTCCTTGGCACGTTGGTTTCGAAGGGGTATCTTAATTTAAAACGACGATATTAAGTCGACACGAGGCGAGTTGTTCGGATATCGGACTCCGGTCCAATGTCGGTCCCTTCGATTATGCGAGTCCAGGGAAAGCAAACATCCAGGATGATTTTGAAGACATACATGTAAATTCAATCTTTAAAAAATCTCAATAATTATAAAAGAAAATCATATTTATTTTATATATGTTACACAGTTTATTAATATATAATATATTTATAAACCTTTGATTGAGACAGTTATAGATTTCTTTTTCTGTTTTAGGCATCCAGAGTGGTCTTCCTCAAGTGAGCTATGTCAAGGCTATTGACGTTTGGATGGGCACATGTACAGGTATGTTCCAACATAAATTATTAACTTCTGTAGACGTGATGGTTGTAGCTCGTTCAATCGCATAAACTATTAGTATTCCAGAAAGCCGTTCTAGCTATAAAAGGAAAAAAATCCAGGCTTTGGGTTAATTAGCATACATTTACCGACTACAAAAATGGGACGATATCACTAATACAACGCGGGTTTAGAGGTACATAGCATTGCACTTAGCTTCCAAGAACTGTAATGTACTCGACGTACGGATTACGAGTTCGTTCTGCGTGGGTCTGAATTCGCAATCCGATTTCAAATTACCTAGGCGAGAGAAATCCCAGACCAACTTAAAGCAGAGACATGTACATTTTAAAATCATTAGAGGAAATTTTATATTTAATTTTTTTAGTGAGAAAAAACTAAAGAAACTCAACCTTGATATTTTATTTTAATGTATGGTGATTAGTGACCGTTAATCGATAATTATTCAGAAATCGTGAGATGCGGTCTGGTGTGATGTAGGTTTCAGAAAAACATTTTCTTTATCGTGCCAACGTAGCGAGAGCTGTAGGATTTTGCTTGGGTTTTTTGCCATCATAGATATGTTGTTTTACTCTCTTGTCCAGATATTGGGATGTAAGACCGATGTACGTTGCCGGATAGTTTAAACAGTTGATTTTGTAGATTACATCAGATTTATTTGTTATTGGTGTGGGATCTTTAATTTTGGAAAAAAGTGTTTGAATTGTTTTATAGTTTTTGAAAGCTGTATTGAAGTTATCGGACGAGAGAAATTTGTTTGATTTATGTGATAGGACTTGAATAAATGGCATGGAAATGTATGCTGGTTTGTTTGTATTTGTTAGATTTAATGAAGTATTATTAGTAATAGTGGATGGTATTAGTATTGAGTTGTACTTGTTGATTATGTGTTTGGGGTAGTGTTTGTTTTGGACGATATGTTTGTATATTTTTATGTTCTTGTGGTGAAATGATTCATGGATTAGGGCAACAATTCTGTGGAGTAACCCTTTGGCAGTGTTTATTATTGTATGAAGAAGATGGTCAGATGTAAAGTTGAGGAAGCGATCTGTGTTTCTTGGTTTTTGATACCAATCTGTGATTAACGGAAACGATAAATGATGGAGTGAGTGTGGTGTTCAATCTTTTTTAAAAAGATAGTTCCTACTCACAGTAAGTTGTTTTGCAACGATTCGGATTTCGATCCTTTTAGCTCATCATCAGGTTGAAGGACTCCTACAACCACGTCTCTCGACAGGAATCGCCAAAGTGAACCCGCTGACACCTCCGCCAACGCGACGTTCCAATTAGCAGCTGATTTTTCTTAATGACGCTCAATTTGAACGTGCGAAACGCGGAAATTATAACTCAAATAAATATTAGAATAATAAATACTTAATATTACTATAAATTACTATAAAAATAATAACAATTAAAATAATTAGTTTAATTATTTGGATGTTTGATATTATTTATGTACATATTTAAAATGGGAGGTAGATCAAAATCTGTTATATTATTAATGCATTTATCACCATGTTCAATTTTACATTTTTTAATTTCAAATTTCTCAAACCAATCTAGTTCTTTCCCTTTGTTGAAACTATGTAACACTTTTGTATTTAAATTTGAATTGAAATTACGTTTTCTTTCTTTCAGTTCGTCCTTAAATTCCGAAAATTTGCTCGATTTAGGCAAGTGTTTTACTCTCGTTTTTATTTCTCTACCGCTTTCTCCTATATACTTAATATCACAATCACTACAATTGAGTTGGTAAACCCCGCTTTTTGCCAAGTTGTCTACCTTGTCTTTAGGTTTTGAGAGGAAGTTTTTAACCCGTACTTCTAAAAGCTATTCTAAAATGTAAAATTGAATATGGTGATAAATGCATTAATATTATAACAGATTTTGATCTACCTCCCATTTTAAATATGTACATAAATAATATCAAACATCCAAATAATTAAACTAATTATTTTAATTGTTATTATTTTTATAGTAATTTAATAATATTAAGTATTTACTAATATAATATTTATTTGTGTTATAATTTCCGCGTTTCGCACGTTCAAATTGAGCGCCATTAGAAAAATCAGCTGCTAATTGGAACGTCGCGTTGGCGGAGGTATCAGCGGGTTCACTTTGGCAATTCATGTCGAGAGACTGGTTGTAGAAGTCTTTCAATCTGATGATGAGCTAAAAGAACCGGATGGTTGCAAAACAACTTACTGTGAGTAGCAACTATCTTTTTAAAAAGGATCTGTGATTAATGTGCCATCTGGTTGTTTTATTACGAGTGTATCTAAAAAGGTATTTTTTTGTTGTTTTCGATTTCATGTGTAAATTGTAGGCGTGGGTGAAAGCTATTGAATGTNCCATTATAGTTAGTTAGTTAGTTGACCAAATTGCTTCTTTCAATTAATTAATCTTTTTATGTAAGGTTTTGGTTGAAATGAAAAAGTTACTGCCACGAGCGGGATTCGAACCCAAGACCTTCGGCTAAATACGGTGCTGCTCTACCACTTGAGCTACCGTACTTCGATCCACTCGGACACCAACTGCTTATCTCAATCTACAACCCTAACATATATAAATTAATTTTGTAAAACATACAGATGCTAAATTCGCAACTAGTCAAGGATTCAACATGAATATCCTTAAACATTTACTTTATCTTTAAAATGATCATACTTCATCATTTTAAAATCATAAGTCCTCAAGACAAACATACACAATGTTTTGAGATAATGATTTCATTTTGGACCTTCAAAACATTTTTTTTTCCAAAGTAAAATAATGCCATATTTGTACCTCTCCCGTTTTTTCTTTCCTATTTTTAGTACTTCAAAAATAGATTTTACTTTATTGCTTAATAAGGCTGTCTGTAATGACGCACTAATCCCATCCCACATAAGGAAGTCGTTCCGGATCTTCTAGAAAATTCCCGTTTCGAAGCTCGTTAGGGGTATTTTTGGATCGAATTGAAGGCAACAAGGAAAGAGAATACGTGGGGTCCAATCCCACTTCCTATTATCCATCATCACCATCATCAACCCTTAAGCTTGCAAAAGTTTGAAATGACGTGAGATATTTTCTTTTTTGTTGAACTCACAGCACGCATCTGGGTCCGGTCATGGCTGTCCGTCGCGTTTAGACATTTCGTCATCTTCAGTGTAGGGTTCATCACCCCACGGATCACAAATCGAAATTTCACTACGATCAAACTGTCGCTTAACATAAAACCACAACAAATCTACTTTCATCGATCTTACGAACGGCAGATTGTGAGCATTTTTTTCATTTTGCTCGGATTATTCCTTAACGCGCAGTTGAAGACCACCATGAATCCGTGCACCTTTACATCAGTGCATTTAATAAAATTGACATGAGCTGATTTGCCAAGCATGCCTCTTGTAAGCGGCGGAAATCTTTCTCCACCCCTTGAATTGAAATTTAATGTGTGGTGATTAGTGTCCGTTAATCGATATTTATTGAGAAATCGTGAGATGCGGTCTGGTGTGAAGTAGGTTTCAGAAAAACATTTTCTTTATCGTGCCAACGTTTCGATCTTTATTGAGCCCTGAAGATGATCTCAATAAAGATCGAAACGTTGGCACGATAAATATGTATTTCTGAAACCTACGTCACACCAAACCACAACTCACGATTTCCGAATAATCATTAAAATTTAAGTAGACATTTATTTATTAATCCCTTGTATATTCAATTTTATCCATTTCTCCAGTTGACCTGTGTGTGTTTATTAGTTCGTGAATAGTAGTGTATTTTTTCAGACAAAGAAAAGAAAAAAAATTTTCCAGAATTTTTGATCGTCAATGTATGAAATGGCAGGAGACTGCAAGTTTGGATGCCAAGAAGATAAAACGTTGATTTCTATGACTACGAAGAAGAAAGCAGTTGGGGACTGTCGACCATACACGATACTGACACAATTGATGAGAAAAAAATTTCTATTTCAAAGTCTACATTTTACATTTACAAAGTTTTTACCGATTCTATAACCGCTGTAAACCATCCCCTCAGAAACCGTGTTTTTCTCGAGACGGACATTTCTATGGAAAAAGGTATGGTTAACGATTGCCAAATAGAGTGGTCTGAGAAAACTAAATACCTAGGTATACCCTAAACCGAATACATAATTTCTCAGACCATACAAAGGAAATTGCTAAAAAGAGGAGGGAAGCCATCAGGATCTTATTCCCACTGATGTCCCGTAGCTCCGGCGTTATAAAATAATTAAAAAAATTAAAAATAAAATTTTAAAGCTCGCCTTACTCTACGCATGCCCCTTCCTGGAAATGCACGTGAACCACAAATATAGAAAAATCCGAGTTACGCAAAATAAATTCGTAAAACTCGTAATCACCTCACCTCGATGCACTAAAAATCCATTTTTTATTGATCAAACGGGAATGAGCTTAGTAAAAGATGAAATCAAACGCCGCACTGAAAATTTAAAAAAATGGCAGAGCTTAAAAAATCCCACATGTGGAAATATCTAAAACCGTTATCGTCCCTGGAAGCACAGGAGAATAAAACATATCTTAATGTAATAACTTATTTATTAACTTTTATTCACTTATTAATTAATTTATTTATTGGCTTACTTCTGAATTTATGTATTATACGTAAATATTGGGTTGTCCGGAAAATAATGCAGGATTTTAAGTTTTCATTAAAAAAAATCTATATAAAATATTCTGTTTACGTTTACAGGATTACTCATTTGTATGNTAATTGTGCCATTCTTGCGTGTCGTGTTGAGAGTGCCAGTGAGATATTGCTGTTTTGTGTTTATATACGTTGGATTTTGATGGGGTGGGAAAGGATGTCGGGATAGAAAACCCACCCCTTCAAAATCCAACGTATATAAACACAAAATAGCAAAATCTCACTGGCACTCTCGACACGACACGCAAGAATGGCACAATTACACAGAAGACAAACACTTTGAGTGAGTAGAAATACTTTGATTGAATATATAA